TACATACTATTACTACTACTACTAATAATAATAATTATTATTATAACAATAATAATACAATATAATAGTAATAATAACAGTAAGGAGAAACTTCAAAAGGCTGCCAGTAGTTGGCACCACCATCAACAAAACATTGGTAACCACTACTAGTACACTTTTCACCTGTCTAGACTTAAGTAGTCTATTAGTATTAGGTTAAGTCTGCCTGAAATGCCTTGGCATGATAAAAGATTTCTTTGCTCCAATCATATTACATGTAAACACACATTGTAACGTTTGTAAAGAAATAAATATTTTATTTATTTATTTAACCCTTTGAGGGTCGACAGGCCCTCTCCGAAACTCGTTCTCAGGGTCGGCCAAATTTAAAAAAAAAAAAAAATATTTTCTCTTATGAAAAGATAGAGAATCTTTTCCCGATCATAAAGACACCAAAAGTTTGAAATTTGATAGAAAACTTACGGAATTATGCTCTCGCAAAGTTAGCGGTCTCGGCGATGTTTACGCATCGGCGATTTTGCCCACTTTGAGCCCCATTTTCGGCCAATTTCACTGTACTAGTCGACAAAAAACATGAATATTTCGCTAGAACTACATTTTTTCTATCGAATGAGTGCAAGAAACCACTCATTTATGAAATTCAACTATCCAGTACAGTGGTCAGAATTTAGCAATTTTGCCAATTTCACACAAATTTCAAAAGATGCCAATTTCCGAATAGGGTCCAGAATATACAAGAAAGACATTCCTGGCACTAAAATGACATTTCCTCTAGTCATTAGTCATGTCTCAAGGCCCCTCTTATATTCTTTTGCTTTCCACTTTGAATTTTTATTTTCACAAAAAATATAAGATTTACTGTTATGCAGACTACTGCATTAGTGTAAAAAATGGTATAAATATTATTGGTGCACTTGTGAAAGAATATTAGACTCACCAGTTGACGTGTATTGCACGCTTGGCACGATTTGTTTACTTTTGAAGTTTGGTAAAAATCGAACATTTCTGCTACTTTGAGCTCAATTTCAAGGCACCTTTCTTTGTAAAACCAGTCAAAATCATCTCAATTTCTGTAATATGTCTTCCATTCTATAAAATGAGACCAAGAAAACTAGAATACAACAATAAATACCATACGAAAATACACTGCAAAGTCGCTGATTTATTAAAAAAAATGGTCAAAGTTTTTTTTTTCTCATTATGCACTGTGTGCTGCAGGATTTTTTTTAGACTGTGCACACTGACCACATAGACCCATTCTATCATATGAAGGCCTACCAGCTTTCTCCCACTAGATTTGAGGCCGCTAGAATTTATGAGTACTAGTACGTCAAAAACCCCTACGCGTAAGACGTACTAGTACGACGAAAACCCTCAAAGGGTTAAGGAACCTCCCTTGATGGGGAAGTTTGCATCCTGAAAAATTTGCATGGTGGGGCGTTCGTAAGCCGAGGTTCCACTGTAGTTGGTTTTATATGAAATTTGTCTTCTTGAATGTTTAGCACAATTTTTTAATACTCAAAATACTGATTCATATACTGTAGACAGTAATGAGTTTTCCCTGTTACCCAATGACAATTTTATGCTTGAACAACTGAAACTGATGTCTTAGTATAATAGTTTAAAATGACACTGAAAGAAGTTACTTATAATTTTAGGGGCCTCAGTATTGCCTTAACTAATAGCATTGAAACATGAATGACATGATTTTCAAACGTGAATTATTTTTGTCCATTATGTTAATTTAACTTGGGATTTGGATGGAAATGCTAGTGTCTAGGATCATTGTTGAGGATAATTTGTTTATAATGTTTAGATTCTAATATATGAATTGTTTTTGTTTTTCAGTCTTTGTTAGTTTTATTTTGATTTTACGATATTGAACTGTTCTGCGATTTATAAATGAATAAATACTGAGAACAATGCAAATATTTTGTCTTGCATATTTTTGTGTTGGATTGTTATGTACAATACAAATAATTCACTGTATTTTGCTCCTACAATATTTCTTTATCATAGCTGTACAAAAAAATCACATGAGCTTTAAACTAATGATGTGTTTTTATTACAGTTCATTTTAGTAGGTTGGTAGACAGCAACCACCCAGGGAAGTACTACCGTCCTGCCAGATGACTGTGAAACAAAAACCTGTAACTGTTTTGCATGATGGTAGGATTGCTGGTTTCTTTTTCTGTCTCATAAACACGCTAAGATAACAGGGATATCTTGCTACTCCTACTTACACTTTGGTCACACTTCACAGACACGCACATGCATATATATATATACATACATCTAGGTTTTTCTCCTTTTTCTAAATAGCTCTTGTTCTTTTTTATTTCTTCTATTGTCCATGGGGAAGTGGAAAAGAATCTTTCCTCCGTAAGCCATGCGTGTCGTATGAGGCGACTAAAATGCCGGGAGCAATGGGCTAGTAACCCCTTCTCCTGTATACAATTACTAAAAAAGAGAAGAAGAAAAACTTTATAAAACTGGGTTGCTTAAATGTGCGTGGATGTAGTGCGGATGACAAGAAACAGATGATTGCTGATGTTATGAATGAAAAGAAGTTGGATGTCCTGGCCCTAAGCGAAACAAAGCTGAAGGGGGTAGGAGAGTTTCAGTGGGGGAAATAAATGGGATTAAATCTGGAGTATCTGAGAGAGTTAGAGCAAAGGAAGGGGTAGCAGTAATGTTAAATGATCAGTTATGGAAGGAGAAAAGAGAATATGAATGTGTAAATTCAAGAATTATGTGGATTAAAGTAAAGGTTGGATGCGAGAAGTGGGTCATAATAAGCGTGTATGCACCTGGAGAAGAGAGGAATGCAGAGGAGAGAGAGAGATTTTGGGAGATGTTAAGTGAATGTATAGGAGCCTTTGAACCAAGTGAGAGAGTAATTGTGGTAGGGGACTTGAATGCTAAAGTAGGAGAAACTTTTAGAGAGGGTGTGGTAGGTAAGTTTGGGGTGCCAGGTGTAAATGATAATGGAGCCCTTTGATTGAACTTTGTATAGAAAGGGTTTAGTTATAGGTAATACATATTTTAAGAAAAAGAGGATAAATAAGTATACACGATATGATGTAGGGCGAAATGACAGTAGTTTTTGGATTATGTATTGGTAGATAAAAGACTGTTGAGTAGACTCAGGATGTACATGTTTATAGAGGGGCCACAGATATATCAGATCACTTTCTAGTTGTAGCTACACTGAGAGTAAAAGGTAGATGGGATACAAGGAGAATAGAAGCATCAGGGAAGAGAGAGGTGAAGGTTTATAAACAAAAAGAGGAGGCAGTTAGGGTAAGATATAAACAGCTATTGGAGGATAGATGGGCTAATGAGAGCATAGGCAATGGGGTCGAAGAGGTATGGGGTAGGTTTAAAAATGTAGTGTTAGAGTGTTCAGCAGAAGTTTGTGGTTACAGGAAAGTGGGTGCAGGAGGGAAGAGGAGCGATTGGTGGAATGATGATGTAAAGAGAGTAGTAAGGGAGAAAAAGTTAGCATATGAGAAGTTTTTACAAAGTAGAAGTGATGCAAGGAGGGAAGAGTATATGGAGAAAAAGAGAGAAGTTAAGAGAGTGGTGAAGCAATGTAAAAAGAGAGCAAATGAGAGAGTGGGTGAGATGTTATCAACAAATTTTGTTGAAAATAAGAAAAAGTTTTGGAGTGAGATTAACAAGTTAAGAAAGCCTAGAGAACAAATGGATTTGTCAGTTAAAAATAGGAGAGGAGAGTTATTAAATGGAGAGTTAGAGGTATTGGGAAGATGGAAGGAATATTTTGAGGAATTGTTAAATGTTGATGAAGATAGGGAAGCTGTGATTTCGTGTATAGGGCAAGGAGGAATAACATCTTGTAGGAGTGAGGAAGAGCCAGTTGTGGGGTGTGGGAGAAGTTCGTGAGGCAGTAGGTAAAATGAAAGGGGGTAAGGCAGCCGGGATTGATGGGATAAAGATAGAAATGTTAAAAGCAGGTGGGGATATAGTTTTGGAGTGGTTGGTGCAATTATTTAATAAATGTATGGAAGAAGGTAAGGTACCTAGGGATTGGCAGAGAGCATGCATAGTTCCTTTGTATAAAGGCAAAGGGGATAAAAGAGAGTGCAAAAATTATAGGGGGATAAGTCTGTTGAGTGTACCTGGTAAAGTGTATGGTAGAGTTATAATTGAAAGAATTAAGAGTAAGACGGAGAATAGGATAGCAGATGAACAAGGAGGCTTTAGGAAAGGTAGGGGGTGTGTGGACCAGGTGTTTACAGTGAAACATATAAGTGAACAGTATTTAGATAAGGCTAAAGAGGTCTTTGTGGCATTTATGGATTTGGAAAAGGCGTATGACAGGGTGGATAGGGGGGCAATGTGGCAGATGTTGCAAGTGTATGGTGTAGGAGGTAGGTTACTGAAAGCAGTGAAGAGTTTTTACGAGGATAGTGAGGCTCAAGTTAGAGTATGTAGGAAAGAGGGAAATTTTTTCCCAGTAAAAGTAGGCCTTAGACAAGGATGTGTGATGTCACCGTGGTTGTTTAATATATTTATAGATGGGGTTGTAAGAGAAGTAAATGCGAGGGTCTTGGCAAGAGGCGTGGAGTTAAAAGATAAAGAATCACACACAAAGTGGGAGTTGTCACAGCTGCTCTTTGCTGATGACACTGTGCTCTTGGGAGATTCTGAAGAGAAGTTGCAGAGATTGGTGGATGAATTTGGTAGGGTGTGCAAAAGAAGAAAATTAAAGGTGAATACAGGAAAGAGTAAGGTTATGAGGATAACAAAAAGATTAGGTGATGAAAGATTGAATATCAGATTGGAGGGAGAGAGTATGGAGGAGGTGAACGTATTCAGATATTTGGGAGTGGACGTGTCAGCAGATGGGTCTATGAAAGATGAGGTGAATCATAGAATTGATGAGGGAAAAAGAGTGAGTGGTGCACTTAGAGTCTGTGGAGACAAGAACTTTGTCCTTGGAGGCAAAGAGGGGAATGTATGAGAGTATATTTTACCAACGCTCTTATATGGGTGTGAAGCGTGGGTGATGAATGTTGCAGCGAGGAGAAGGCTGGAGGCAGTGGAGATGTCATGTCTGAGGGCAATGTGTGGTGTGAATATAATGCAGAGAATTCGTAGTTTGGAAGTTAGGAGGAGGTGCGGGATTACCAAAACTGTTGTCCAGAGGGCTGAGGAAGGGTTGTTGAGGTGGTTCGGACATGTAGAGAGAATGGAGCGAAACAGAATGACTTCAAGAGTGTATCAGTCTGTAGTGGAAGGAAGGCGGGGTAGGGGTCGGCCTAGGAAGGGTTGGAGGGAGGGGGTAAAGGAGGTTTTTGTGTGCGAGGGGCTTGGACTTCCAGCAGGCATGCGTGAGCGTGTTTGATAGGAGTGAATGGAGACAAATGGTTTTTAATACTTGACGTGCTGTTGGAGTGTGAGCAAAGTAACATTTATGAAGGGATTCAGGGAAACCGGCAGGCCGGACTTGAGTCCTGGAGATGGGAAGTACAGTGCCTGCACTCTGAAGGAGGGGTGTTAATGTTGCAGTTTAAAAACTGTAGTGTAAAGCACCCTTCTGGCAAGACAGTGATGGAGTGAATGATGGTGAAAGTTTTTCTTTTTCGGGCCACCCTGCCTTGGTGGGAATCGGCCGGTGTGATAATAAAATAAAATAAAACATCATTTACTCTGAAAATATATATTTTTATGTACAACCATGTAAGCTACAAATTATCCTATTATTTTTACAATGTGATTTTAACCTGGCAGTTCCTGTTAATTAAAATGTAATGCAAAAATAAAAGTTTAATTTCTGCTCATGCAATATTAATATTAATCCGACCTTAGTACTATACACCTCATTACTCTTGTAAATCATGCAGACGAGCCTGGCCCATGGCCGGGCTCAGAGAGTAGATAAACTCTCGAAACTCTTCAAAGGTATATCAAAGGTATGTAGGAAGGGCATAAACATTCACTTCAGACAGAGAGGTAAGAGAAAGCAGGTTTTTTTTTTTTTACATTGTATATATTTATCAAAAACCATTTCTTAAGTTTCATGAGAATATAAAAAAAATAACATCTTGCTGAGCAAGCAAACTAACCCATATTTTTTTCATTGTGGATCTGTTAAATTAGTGTGGGTCATTCAGTACAGGTCAGCCATCACTAATACGGTAACTGATAATCTGGTTCCATCAGTAATCTGGCACTAATTTCAGCTAGTATAATTTCAAATGTCTGGGGCCACCACACCAACCTGCTGCTACTTGCTGCATGAGCCATTCCAATTTCTTTTTCTCTATTTATTGTTATAACCTGCTCACTTTTAGACCTAGCCATGGTTCCAACAAATAAATAAATGCATCTCGTTGTGTAAAGCACATACACCATACATTGTCCATAAAAGATAAGGTGGCTCTGAAGCCACTGTTGGTCACCATGAGCTCAGCTCATTGTGACCAGTAAATTTGGGCCTACATATGAGAGAAGACATCTGCAGCATACAGTACACAATGAGAAAAAAATTGTGACCATGTTTTTCATGTAAAACAGCATCTTTGCAGTGTATTTTTGTATGTTTTTATGGTGTAGTCTCGTTTTTTTGGTCTGATTTGATAGAATGGAAGATATATTACAGAAACAGATATGATTTTGATTGGCTTCACGAAGGAAAGTACCTTGAAATTGAGCTCAAAATAACAGAAACGTTCAATTTTTGCCGATGTTCAAGAGTAAACAAACGACATTACTGTCCAATACATGTCCAACTGGCCAGTCTAATATGCAGTCAAGAATGGGTTACATTATTTATACATTTATTACAATAATGCAGTAGTCTGTATAACAGTAAATCTGTTTTTTGTTCAAGTAAAAAATTCAAAATGGAAAGCAAGCATAATGTATAAGAGGGCCTGGAGACATGACTAATGAACAGAGAAAATGTTATTTTAGTGCCAGGAATGTCTGCACTGTTTATTCTGAACCCTATTTTGAAATTGACATCTTTTGAAATTTGTGTGAAATTTACCAAAATTGTTGGGAGGGTTCCATGGAGATATGATGGTTGGAGATAAACACACTTGTTGGGTTATATACACTTATATTAGCAGAGTTGTGAGGGGAAGGCCTAGCCTAGCCTGTTGCCTGTAGGTCTATCCGTGAACTGAGAGAGGGACAGGGTGACTCCCGCCCACAAGCAGCACTGTGTGACGTCACATGTTAGCTGCTAAGTCTAGCAAGAAGTCATCTATAAAATACATATGGATGGTACTATGCTACACAACATATACAGGGGATCAGCAACTATGCTGACAGCTCGGTCATGTTACGTATGGCGTCTCGACATACCATACTCTACAGGCAGGTGGCTCTGGGCTGATTCTATACAACAGCAAATCATAGTACAGTGGACCCCCGACATTTGATATTAATCCGTTCCTGAGAGCCATCGAATGTCGAAAATATAGAAAGTCGAATTAATTTTCCCCATAAGAAATAATAGAAATCAAATTAATCCGTGCAAAACACCCAAAAGTATGAAAAAAAAAATTTTTACCACATGAAATGTTAAGTTTAATGCAATAGAATAATTACAATAACAACAATAACAATAGATTAATAACAATAGAATAATTGACACTTACCTTTAATGAAGATCTGGTGATGATTGATGGGGTGGGAGGAGGGGAGTGTGTGGATGGTGTTAGTGTTTAGAAGGGGAATCCCCTTCCATTAGGACTTTACCAAATCATCATGCACTCTGACACACACACTCCACTTTCATACTTTGCAATTACCTCTTTCTTCATTTCAATAGTCATTAGCACCTTTTTTCTCGAAGGGTTGGCACTAGAAGCTTTCTTGGGGCCCATGGTTACTTATTTTGCAGAAACACACCAAAAACAGTGATAATATGGATAATATGGAATGTACCAATTGTATCCTTAGATGCGCACACACTGGGACACACGGGGCAGTTCAGGCCACACGTGGACACGTCTCGTACGAATCGTATTGAATGTCGGGTTTCCCATCGAATGTCGAGGCAAAATTTTTGCGTTAAAATGCATCGAATGTCGGATTTATCGAATGTCGATGCCATCGAATGTCGGGGGTCCACTGTATAATAAAAGATAGAATTGATCGATTGATCTGTATTCAAGCACTCTACGGATTCTGAGGAAGAATATATATTTACAAAGGGGAAAGTAATTAACAGCAAAGGCAGACTTGGCGTGCACAGGTCATTACTGCTAAATCTCAGAATTCGGAAGGAAGGTGAAAAAAAAAAAAAAAATTGAAAACTGATCAGCTAATAACAAAACACACAGCTGACAACTTTCTTCAACTTGATCATCTAATTATACAGGCTATGTACATTTAAACCCAACTCTGCGAGGGTAAGATTTACACATGCAGAATGGTTATCATCTCTGGGAGGATCGAAGTCTTTTGCAATGGCGAACGCATGCCTTGATTGAGGGAGATCTGAATGAGTATCTACAAAAGATACTTGGGAATTTCTCAGTACTTGTCACGTACGCAGGGAATAACGACATTCAGGTTGAAATGGGCAACACTATAACACAAAATATGAACAAGGAAGAATGGATCTACTATCTCTTACAATCGTTAACAACATGTGAAGATTATTCGAGAACAACTTTTTACATTGCAAGGATTACTGTCAACTAGGATAGTATCACCATCTGGAATACAAGGGACAACAACAACACTCTAGTGAGCACACTAGCCACAGAAACATCTTTCTGCAATGGCTTGTGGCATCAGCAAGAGATGACATAACTTACTGCAAGTAATCTTTCTTCGCAAGGCATCCCCTGGGAAGAACGACTACTTGAACAAGTCGACATCACAGGGATAGTAGCCTAAGCACCCAGGGTTGTCTGAGGTTCCTCACAAACCCAAGGTAACTGTACACTATCCTGTGTGCAAGATATTGTGGCTGGATTCCAGACAGGAGTGACAGTTTTACTAGTGCCTGACCACTCGGCTATGTTAATAAGTAATTTATGGATCTATAAGAACGTAATCTGAACTTCACATTCTGCAGTACTGTAACAAGTCTCAGACACAAGCTATGAGAGCAAACATATTGTCTAGCTAGGTATTGTCTTTCAGCCAATAAGGGAATATTAGGACTGTGGACTGATTCATATTTACTTTGACTGGCATGATGCACTAAGTGAGCAAACAAAAGTGGTTGAGACATCTCAGGGAACTTACTCAAGATCATAAAAGCAAGAATAATAAAGTGAATGTACGACACAATAAAGCTTAAATGGGAGAAAATAATTAACCATTCTGCATAAGTAAAGAAAAATGACAAGTCACACTATAGAGCAAGGAAAACTCACAGAAAAAAACACTCAACTGGATAAGGCAACACTTTGATAATCAAGAGAAATTGTACTTTACTCAGATCAATTTTACTCAAATTTACTTTAAGTTGAATTAGTGGCACAGTGAGTTGTCTTTACTCTCAATTGAATAAAGAAATTCAACAATAAATGATAAATCAATCAAAATAATAAAATAGAATCAATAAATCTTGTGCAAAATTAAAATAGACTGGGAAAGCAATTCTCAAAAAAGAAAAAAAAAAAAAAGTGAAACACAAAGAATAAAATATTATGCACAGAACACAAGTAAATGTGAAACTGGAATCACAGGATATTGCACTGAAATAAACTGTACCAATATTTCAACTAATAACCATTAATCAAAAATTGCTGCACAACACTACATAGAAAAAATTTCTGAAAGAAAAAAATTAATGGTAGCCTGGTGGCTAACGCTCTCGCTTCACACGGCGAGGGCCTGGGTTCGATTCCCAGCCAGAGTAGAAACATTGGACGTGTTTCTTTCCACCTGTTGTCTATGTTCCCCATCAGTAAAAATGGGTACCTGGGTGTTAGTCGACTGGTGTGGGTCGCATCCCGGGACACTGACCTAATTTGCCCGAAATGCAGAGCATAACAAGGGAGTTTCTATATAGTAGTATGTCATTGTTGTCAGCTAGGACTGTATACCTTGTACATGTACTTGTAGTAAATAAAGATATAAAAAAAAAAAAAAAAAAAAATGAGTCAATACTGCAATAATAAAATATTACACACAAGAAAATGCAGTTTACAAGAACAATAAAAAAATATTATCAAGAATGAACTGATTGAACACTTTAACTCTTAACTGCAATTTAGGCAAACACTTACTGAAACAAAGCAAAAGAATGCTTTACTTTTAAAAAAGAAGTTAAAAATTTCACTAAGAGTGAATTTGTTCAATGAAATATTGTTTGTGTTCCTGCACAATAGTGCAGAAACACAAACATCAATATGCACAATACTATGATAATTTTCTTGCAATAAGGTCTTGTGTTGACAAAAATTGGTAACAAATGTCACTATTGTCTGTAGAGATGGAACAAATTAGACACTGGTGAAATTAACAATAAGGAACACAAAAGAATGGTCAACACACACAAAAATGGGAAATGAATTAACACAAAATCACCAAGAACACAAGAAAATGCTGGGAAAAAAATAAATGAGACACAACACTGAGTTGTGGTGCAGAACATAAGGTAAACAAGTTACTGAAATACTTCACCGAATGAATTACTAGGCAAGGAACACATTACTATGAACACAAGATAACTGTGAAGTGTAAACACAAGTTTATACTGCTTATATATTGCACACAACAGGGAAAAATGGAAAAGTACTTACTTCAAGTATAAAAAAAAAGGAACACAATGCAACATAGATATAAATATAAAGCACAAAAATTAAACATGAGAAACACTGGTCTTAAAAATTATTGCAAACAGAATGTAATGAACACTGAGTCTGATCAAGTCACTGAATGTCACTAATGAATCACTGTAAACTGAAAAAATGTCTCAACACTCACAAATGTCTATAAAAAAGATTAGTATCACTGGAGCGATGTCAGTGTAGAAATGAGGGAGGTGGTGGGGAAGGTTGTTGTTTGTCTCTGGCGCCGCTGTCCACTACTCCACACGTCGATGTCTCGAAGAATTTGCACCTAAACTCGAGGAACCCACATAGCTAGGCTCTGTTGTTGGCGCACAGGTACGAGGAAACAATCTTGGGTCTTGACCCACTATGTGAGCCGTAAAAGTGATGGTTGAACCTGGTATAAGGGTAGAAAATACGCCACACATGGTTAATGGCGGTGGGTAAGTATGGGTGAGTGAGACAGCATGCATGGATGGCCTGAGTGACCTGTCCCAGGTGGTTGGCTGGCTGACTGGATGAGCAGTGTAACCCACACGCTCTGGCGTGCACCCACACTAGGCACGAGAATATTCTAAGCCAGGCTGGCTTAAAACACACCACAACACCACAGGGATAGTATAAGCACTCAGGATGGCTTGGAACTGGGAGCACAAAGCGTTGGTGAAGGCACAAACTCACGTGGTTTGCTTGAGTACTGGGGTTAGTCACCTGGGTTAGTTGGCTGGCTTGGCTTAAACCCTTCACACAGGCTGGCTTGAGAACTTGTAACAATGAACACAGCAGGGTGGGAAGCTGGCTTAGCAGGCAAGGCTAGGACTGGAGCAGGTTGGGTGGCTTAGAGCTTGTCTCCCCTCACAGACTGGCTTGGCTTAATTTGCAAGCCCGGGTCAACCCCTCGGAAGTAATGCATATAAGCAGGTAAGACACTAAGACACAAAGACTGACCAGGACTTCGTGCAGAGAGGCTGGTGGTGCTTGGTTGGGGTAGCTGGCTGTTTAGGATGCCATGCAGTCAACACATGATGTCCGTCGACTGGTAGAAGTTAATCTCTGTACATCTGCATAAACATCAGATTTACGCAACCACCGCTACCACCATTTGTTGGGAGGCTTTCGTGGAGATATGATGGTTGGAGATAAACACACTTGTTGGGTTGTATACACTGATATTAGCAGAGTTGTGAGGGAAAGGCCCAGCCTATCCTGTTGCCTGTAGGTCTATCCGTGAACTGAGAGAGGGACAGGGTGACTCCCACCCACGAGCAGCACTGTGTGACGTCACATGTTAGCCGCTAAGTCTAGCAAGGGGTTGTCTATATAATGCATATGCATGGTACTAACTATGATACTCAGCTATGCTACACAACATATACAGGGAATCAGCAACTATGCTGACAAAATTACCGATTTCTGACCACTTCACTGGATAGTTGAAATAGGTAAATGAGCGGTTTCTTATACTCAGTCGACAGAATAGAAGGAATAGTAGAAAAATAGCTATGAGTTTGGTAGACTGGAACAATGGAATGAGCCAAATATAGGGCATAAAGAGGGTGAAATCACAGATGAGTCAATATTGCTGTGGGGTTAAGTGTATTCTAACCTAACCCACTCTGTAATCCAGCACCCTACAGGTCCCAGTGATGCTGGATTAGTGATGGTCAACCTGCACAGTCTCTCCTTACTTAGCGACGTACTCGTTTACCGACGACTCTGACTTACGACGGGCTCTCTGACCAGTATGCATATCTAAATAATGTACATTAGAGCTAATTTCCTCGTATTTTGTTTATTACAATATACAGTACACTACTGTATAAACGTTTAAAAATACACCAGAAATGTTATAAATGATGCAAGGTGACATTAAAACAACATCAAAGATGGTTGACACAAACCCATTACCATTATGGTGTGCTCCTTACTTAGTGATAAATTCATTTACCGATGTAGTCTTAGGAACGGAACTCCATTGTTAAGTGAGGAGAGGCTGTACTATACACTAAAGAGTGTAAGAGAGACACTGGGGAGAAATAGGTAATGTTGTTGAAAGGGCTTTAGCGAAAAGGAGTTACAGTTGATGTAGCAAATAAGTTACAGAGAGAATCTATATTAAAGGTGGGATTGTCAGAGAGGCTTGAGGACAGAATAAAAATGTCAGAAAATTGAAGATGTACCTAGAAATTGGTATATTATGTGAAGAATGGAAGTCAAAGATGATGAATCAAAAGATGATGAATAGTCAGTATGACCTAACAATTCTCAGAGTGGCATCAGGTTCCCTTCAATAAGATAACAATTTTTGAGCCTGGTGCGACCAATATGCATTGTGAAAGAGAGTAGATTCCCATAGATGAGCAATGGAAATAGGACAGCCAAAAGCCCAACCTTGGTCTAACGCAACACATTGTTGGTAACTAATACAGTTGCCTTGAACAGCCCCGGAAAAAACTTTGCTCTCCAGGGTGGCTGGGGTAAGCTATTAACCCTTAAACTGTCCAAATGTAGATTTACATTCACTCGCGTGGCTCTCCGAATATTTTGAAAAATAAAAAAATCATTTTTTCTTTTAAAATAAAGAGCACATTTTTCTACATGTTATAAGATTAAAAAAAAAATTTAGGGTCAGTATTTACTGAAATATAAGACCGTGAAGTTGGCTCTGGATGCTCACCTGATGGCAACATCGACTCCTGCCACTTGCAGAAGTGTTGCCGATATACCTTTTTTTCCTCGTTTTTATTTTATGTATTTTTTATGTTCTGATAATTACAATTTATAATAGTTCTTATAATTTCATAGTCAATCTTTGTTCTGACACTAATATTAGGTACTGAAATAGTGCTCAAATAGTCACAATCACATTGACAGGTGAATATTTACACCTGCTTGGGTTATTTACTATTGTCTAGAAATATATGCAAAGTATTTATAGGTCCAAAACTAGGGATGCCAAGCCCATGATGACACTCTTCGGGCCGCTTGTTCTATCTAGGCTGGAATATTGCTGCACACTAACAGCACCTTTCAGGACAGGTGAAATTGCTGACCTAAAAAATGTACAGAGAACCTTCATGGCATGCATAACTGAGATAAAACACCTCAATTACTGGGAGTGCTTGAAGTTCCTGAACCTGTACTTCCTGGAAAGCAGGCAGGAGAGATACATGATTATACAGTGGACCCCCGCATACCGATTTTAATCCATGCAAGAGGGGTAATTGTTATGCGAAATAATCGGTATGTGAATGAATTTTCCCCATAAGAAATAATGGAAATAAAATTAATCCGTGCAAGACACCCAAAAGTATGAAAAAAACAAATTTTTTACCACATGAAATGTTAATTTTAGTACACACAAACTGAAAAAGGCATGCACAATTACATGACACTTACTTTTATTGAAGATCTGGTGATGATTGATGGGATGGGAGGAGGGGAGAGAGAGTGTTAGTGTTTAGAAGGGGAATCCCCTTCCATTAAGACTTGAGGTGTCGATTCCTTTTCTGGGGTTACTTCCCTCCTTCTTTTAATGCCACTAGGACCAGCTTCAGAGTCACTGGACTTCTTTCGCACAACATATCTGTCCATAGTGGCCTGTACCTCTCGTTCCTTTATGACTTCCCTAAAGTGTTTCACAACATTGTCAGTGTAATAATCACCAGCACGGCTTGCAATAGCTGTGTGAGGGTGATTTTCATCAAAAAAGGTTTGCACTTCAAGCCACTTTGCACACATTTCCTTAATCTTTGTAGTAGGCAACTTCTTCAATTTCTCTCTCCCCTCCTCTGAACCAATTTTCTCAGGTCTGGCCTCTTGCTCTTGAAGTTGATCTATCAGTTCATCAGTGGTTAGTTCTTCTTTGTCCTCCTCCACCAACTCTTCCACATCCTCCCCACTAACCTCCAACCCCAAGGACTTTCCCAATGCCACAATGGATTCCTCAACTGGCATAATCCTCTCAGGGTTAGCCTCAAACCCTTCAAAATCCCTTTTGTCTACACATTCTGGCCACAGTTTCTTCCAAGCAGAGTTCAAGGTCTTCTTAGTCACTCCCTCCCAAGCCTTACCTATAAGGTTTACACAATTGAGGATATTAAAGTGCTCTCTCCAAAACTCTCTTAGAGTCAGTTGAGTTTCTGAGGTCACTACAAAGCACCTTTCAAACAGAGCTTTTGTGTACAGTTTTTTGAAATTTGCAATAACCTGCTGGTCCATGGGCTGCAGGAGAGGAGTGGTATTAGGAGGCAAAAACTTCACCTTAATGAAGCTCATGTCCCCATAAAGTCGCTCTGCCACGTCTGTAGGATGACCAGGGGCATTGTCTAACACCAGGAGGCACTTAAGTTCTAATTTCTTTTCAGTTAGGTAATCTTTCACATTGGGGGCAAATGCATGGTGTAACCAGTTATAGAAAAAGTCCCTAGTGACCCATGCCTTGCTGTTTGCCCTCCACAGCACACACAAATTCTCCTTGAGGACATTCTTTTGCCTGAACGGTCTGGGAGTTTCAGAGTGATACACTAATAAAGGCTTAACTTTGCAATCACCACTAGCATTGGAACACATCAACAAAGTAAGCCTGTCTTTCATAGGCTTATGTCCTGGGAGTGCCTTTTCCTCCTGAGTAATGTAGGTCCTGCTTGGCATTTTCTTCCAAAACAGGCCTGTTTCACCACAATTAAACACTTGTTCAGGTTTCAGTCCTTCAGTCTCTATGTACTCCTTGAATTCATGCACATATTTTTCAGCCGCTTTGTGGTCCGAACTGGCAGCCTCACCATGCCTTATCACACTATGTATGCCACTACGCTTCTTAAATCTCTCAAACCAACCTTTGCTGGCCTTAAATTCACTCACATCAGCACTAGTTGCAGGCATTTTTTTAATTAAATCCTGATGCAACTTCCTAGCCTTTTCGCTTATGATCGCTTGAGAGATGCTATCTCCTGCTAGCTGTTTTTCATTTATCCACACCAATAAGTCTCTCAACATCCTCCATCACTTGCGATCTTTGTTTCGAAAACACAGTTAACCCTTTCAGGGTCCAAGGCCCAAATCTGGAGTCACGCACCAGTGTCCAAGAATTTTCAAAAAAAAAATTTGTTATTTTTTCTTATGAAATCGTAGAGAATCTTTTTGTGAAGGTAATAAAACAAAAAGTACGAAATTTGGTGGAAAATTGACGAAATTATGCTCTCGCGAATTTTGATGTGTCAGCGATATTTACGAATCGGCGATTTTGCCGACTTTGACTCCCATTTTAGGCCAATTACATTATTCCAATCAACCAAATTCTTAGCTATTTCACTAGTATTACTTCTATTCTATCGATTGAGCACAAGAAATCGCCAAGTCAACTGTTTCAACTACAAAATAAAGTGATCGGAAATT